TTTTACAGCTGCACCCTTAATTACATTCCTTTAGCTTAAAGTCACATACACTTTATCTGACAAACCATGATTCATCATTTTATTATCTTTACCCAAAACAGTTAGGGTAAAACAATTTAAATCCTTATGATTCCACAATTATAAACACATAAGATTCTCTCCTCTGTTTCTCAATTATAATTAAAAAAAAAAAAGCTTTGGACTCATGATAAAAACAATGATGATTCATCCTGATTCCAGCATTTTGGGAGGACGTGAAGAGTTCCTTCTAAAAGTCCGTCCTAATTCAGAAGAAGGTTGATCCCCTCTTCTTTCCTCTCTCCATTATTTTTTCAAGACATTTTTTATTTTATTCAAAAGATTAAAATACAAAATCCAGAAGAGAAAATCAACTGCACCGCCAACCAGAGGCAGCACCCTCAACCAGACCCTGACCTGATATAATCTCCTTATCACAAGACCAATCACAAGGCCCTTACTTGACACACCCACATCTGAAGCCATAAACAGAAGAACACTGATATCCCCTAAATTCTGAAAATGTTACTTAACCTGGTAACGGAACATTCGAAACCAACCCACAAGCTCAGAGAATGAACCTTCACCCTCACCTTATACCTGAGCTACATATATTCTCCACTATTGCAAAAGGTATTGGTTAAGGTATTGTTATTGAAGAGCTGACCAGCTGCTGCAAGGCTGATGCAATATAAGGCTGGTGCAATGTAAGGCTGATGCAATGAGGATGAATCAGCATTGGTATTGCCTTTTTTAAAACTATGTATGGGTCCACAGATGTCTTTACCATTTTAAGAGGTGTTTATATAAGGCAGCCATTAGAGGGCGTGTTTCTCTCTCTCCTTGAGTCCTGTATCCATTGCAGAGTTCTCCATGTAGAACTAAGAAGATTGGGCTGGGGCATTCCTGTTTAATATTGTGAACTGATGCCTAAGAATTTTATGATACTAAAAGGAGCTACCGTGTTTCCCCAAAAATAAGACCTATCCTGAAAATATAACTTGTTTACATGGTCTATGTGGAAGATTGGGGGTTGGGGTGGGGCCTTCATGGTTTAATATTGTGAACTGATGCCTTAGAATTTTAAAATACTAAAAGGACCTACCATGTTTCCCCAAAAGTAAGACCTATCCAAAAATAAACCTGTAGCTTGATTTTTACATTCGCAACCAATTGTCAGCTCCTACAGGAGGTCGCTGAATCTGGTTCAATAAAACACTTCACTCACAGTCTTGCTGCAGCAATGTGATATATTTTGGCTTCCTCCATCAGTAGCAACAAACAGAAAGTCCAAGTAAAGCCAGCGCTGAGAGCGTCTGCCTCTCAGCGCTGTTTATATTTCCTGTTCACTGCCCCCATTAATTAGCTAACATCCGCCCTTAGCAAAACACCCAACATTCAGTTACAGAAATCTCGCGTGCTATCACCCAAATCCCCAAACAATAACTTCCCCCTCCCCTAGTGCCGTTCTTCCACCCCGATCCATTCGATATCTCCTATGCAGATTGCTGACCAGCCGAAATGACATCCCGAAGTTTTTCCTGGCTGAGAAGAGTGGGAGGCGTGTTACTTAAGAGTTTGCAAAATGTCGAACAACCGATAAGGCATGTTCTCAGCTGGTCACACTGCAGTGGGGAAGGGCGGTTACGCCTGGCTCCGTCAGCTGTCATCGACATCGATTTGGGACTTTCAAGGTAGATAGCTCTTCCCCAACCACAGTGACGTGTCGGGCTTCATTCTGTCAGCAGCTTTGGTGAAGCCTGACACCAATATAAGCCCTACCCCCAAAATAAACCCTAGTTAAGATCCCGCCCGCTCCATTGCACCTAGTTGAATGGGGTGGGGTGAGGCACATGGGTAAAAATCAAGCTAGGGTGGGGATGGTGGGGTGAAGCTATTTATCTTTGGACAGCCATGCTTCGCACACCCCAACACTTGCCTTGCCAGCCCACTTCTTCTGCAGCTGCTTGCCACCTCTTGCGCACATTGCCCCCGGCCTCCATTTCGCTGTCAGAGACCTTCCAGAAAGGCCTCTGCAGCCAAGAAATAAGCTCCAGACTGATGTGTACAGCACCCCTGACCTCTATTTCACCATAGAAATGAATCCTAGAGTGGCAGTGCGATACAGGAAACAACTACAATAGAAAGGAATGACAGAGTTGCATATAAGGTAGACATGACACCTGTAACACCCGCCCACCCTTTCTCCTTCGGTTCATGATTGTCCGAAACTCATCTTGGACCCTTCCTAGTCTTTCTTCATAAAGCCAGGAGTAAAGCGACTAAATAAGCAGCTTGGTGGCAAAATCAGCTGTTCATCCGCAGGATAAAAAGAATCCCTGTGACCATTCAACAGGCCACCTTGAGGGAGGAGTTCCTTCCTCTCTCCTTGAGCTGGATGGTCCACTTACGCTGCAAAGAGGAAGGCAAAAAACAGGCAGGGTCAATCTGGGAAGGAGCCAAGAGGAGGAATCACCTTGTCCAGGCTGAGGGATCAGCAAAGATCAGCCCAGCAAAGAATAGAAGCAGCAGATGCAAGAGAGGGATCAGCTGGGTGGGATTTTCCAAAGTATAAGAGAGGAGGGGCAGGGCTGGGACTGGCTCCTGAGGTGGGTGAGAATCTGCCCCACATGTATGGATGTGTCCCCTCAAGTATACAGTAAGGTCTGGCAGCACACTTAAGCCAAAAATAAACCAAAACATAGACTTAAATGGAGGCTTGCAAATCCAAGAAAGCAGACTTTTTATATTTGATCGAAGTTAAAGTTCTGGGTAAGAAGTTCCTAGCCCATCACAAGAAACCTGGGAGGAAAATTCTACAAAATACAGAAAGATGTCCTGTCCTTCTTATATTATACACGCAAAAGTCTTTGTGTTCTTAGTTCTCTAATTACTGTACCTTGTAAATCTCTAGTCATATAATCTAACTAGCTGTAAAACTCTAGTCATGTCATCTAAGATTTACATCTTCCTGCAACAGACAGATTCTTTCGGCTGTGTTATCTTTTCTCCCATTGTCTCCCTAATTGATCCTTTGAGGAGCACACTTCAAAGGTGTGGATTACCCTGGGAGGCTTGGGAGGCATTACATTCCCAGAGGATGCCGGGGTGAGATGTGTCAATCCAGGAAAACAGATGGATTCAGATGGATTTAGATGGGAGAATCGTGTGCCTTAATAGGGGGATGATATAATTGATTGCAGGCATGCGTTTACAACGGTTTTAGTTTACCATTGTTTTACAACAAGTGAATGGTTGAGGAAATCTTTTTTTACAACAGCAAAATAACAAATGCCTATAGAGTAACTTTCTACTGAATGCTGTAACATATTCTACTGCATTTATTTATTTATTTATTATTGCTATTCCCTTCATCACAAATCCAATTCAAATTCCGTGTTGCCTCCAGAAACAAGCGCAAATGGATGCATGGCCTCCAGAGAGTGTCCAGGTCTTCCTTCAGCATCGGGAAGGTGGGATTCTCAGATGGACTCGAGGAGGGGAAGAAGCCCCCACTCCGTCCATGATCGTAGGACCTTCAAGAAGTTCTTCACCTGCCCTTTCCCTCCCCCTGACACTGGGGACGCTCCAATCTCCTCTCTGCAGGCCTTTGAGCCTCCTCATCCAGTCAGATCCTGGGAGGTGCCACAATCTGGCCTTGCAGAATAAGAGGTTGGGGGGGCAGGCAGACCCCCTCCCCAGAGCCCCTCTGAATCTACTCCAAGTCCCTTACCTTGCAGTGTTTGAGACGAAGAGGGTTCTCCCAAAGTATCTTCACCACCAATTCAACCTCAAAGATTTCCCCTCCTCCCTCTCCCTCCCATACAGCCTTCACTGGGGCTACTCACCTGTGAGGAGGGTGCTAAATGGCCTGGTTCTTCCCTGCATTGGAGAGAAAGACACAGAGTGAATCTCTGCTTTTTTTCCTGGTTCTCTAACGGGGTCTCTTTCTCTTCACCATTAAACCTCTGCAGCTTCATGGATCTCTAAAAGTAGACCAAGCCAGAGGTGGTATAGAGCAGGTTCGGACCAGTTCTGGAGAACCAGTAGTAGAAATTTTGAGTAGTTTGGAGAACCGGCAAATACCACCTTTGACTGGCCCCATCCCCATCGATTCTCTGCCTCCCGAGTCCCAGCTGATTGGCTGGGTCTTCTTTTGTTGCCTTGCACAGGAGAACGGAGCTGGAAAGCAGGTTAGTGGGGTGGGGAGGGAATGGGGATTTTACAGTATCCTTCCCCTGCCACACCCATCAAGCCATGCCTACCAAGCCACACCCACAAAACCGGTAATAAAAAAATTTGAATCCCACCACTAGACCAGGCCATGTGACCAAAACAGGTCTCTTAACAGTTAGGGTTCATGGCCTTTCCGGTGGTTTCCTTATTTCCCATTCCAGAACTAAAGGGCTTTTTGCTCCAAAGCAAGCACCAGGTAAGCTCTTAGGCTGCCTTCCCTGTCTGATTGAAGGTTGAAAATCCAACAGGGAGAGTTTCCCTTTCTCCTCGGCAGGAACAAACCAGTGCAAAGAAAGTGAATTCTGTAACTTTGTTTGTTTAGAAATCAAGGAAACGAGGGGAGGGGAGGATCAAGTTGATTGTCAGGATTCCCACGATTGCCCTCATTAAATCATGAGCCTCAAGCCAGGCTTCAAAAGAATCCAAAAATATTTATTAGGAGCAATAAATGTCGGCATTGACCCATATGAAGCCAACTCTGCCACACGTAATTTACGGTCACCTGTGACCCTGTTTCTCCCTTCCCCCCTGGGTGTGTCATCCAGTGTGTTGTACAGAGTAAAAGGAAGAAAAAGAAAAAGAAAACAAAATTGTCAGAATTGAAAGGTAAATGGAGACTTTGCTAACAGAAAAACACCGACACTGACATCCAGGGGTGGGATTTTATCGGTTCGGACTGGTTCAGTAGAACCGGTTATGATTCTCAGTAGTTTGGAGCACCGGTAAATCGGACTCCTGGCTGATCCTGTCTTCTGTATACTGTTTTAATTTGCCTCATGATATTCCTCTGTACCCTGACTATCTTGAGTTTTTTTCCTTTCTGGATGATGACAAAGGCTACTGTAAATTGGAAATATATATATACAAGTTTGTGTCAGTGACATTACCTGGAAAGGTGCTATGCAATTCCTTGACAATACAGATGGATCCAAAGTTATTTTTTTTCCAATCAGTTCATACTTAAAGAGAGCCTTTTGGTGGGAGAGACCAGGAGGAGATCCAGCTGGCGTCCACCAAAGCTCTTTTTCTCTCAAAATGCTTCTTTTTGATCAGTACTTTTATGAAGCTTCCTGATCATATAATGGCCAGGCCTTTCCTGTCCGCCTACTTAGAAATCAAGAGCAATTTCTCCATCAGAGGGATCTTCCACTCAGCCAAGTCTTCTCATGGTTTCAAGAGTTTCTCATATTAGATGTTTCTTCTTGGGGTCTCCTCTCACAAGACCAGCCTGGCCCATTCTCCTCAGCTTAGTTCTCGATCTTCTGCCAGCTTCATGAGTCACTCGTGGCATTTGGATTCACAGGAACAACATACACCCTCCTCAACTGATGGTGCCCCTGATCCCTGCTCTGGGTTGGAGCTAACATCTCTAGAGGGGGAGAAAAAAAACCCACTCACTTGTTGCTGCTTTGTAGCCATCCTGATGTTTCTCTGCAAGGGGGAAAAAAATGAGTGGGAAAAAAAACCCCGTCAGAGATCATCCATCACATCTAGAGTACTGCATCCAGTTTTGGTCACCACATTATAAAAAAGACGTTGAGACTCTAGAAAAAGTACAGAGAAGAGCAACCAAGATGATTAGGGGACTGGAGACTAAAATATATTAAGAATGGTTACAGCAGGAGTCCCCAAACTTAGTAACTTTAAATTGTGGACTTCAACTCCCAGAATTCTGGGAGTTGAAGTCCACAAGTCTTAAAGTTGCCAAGTTTGGAGACCTCTGGGTTACAGGAACTGGGCATGGCTAGTCTAGGGAAGAGAAGGACTAGAGGAGACATTATAGCAGTCTTCCAATATTTGAGGGGCTGCCACAGAGAGGAGGGGGTAAAGCTATTTTCTAAAGCACCCAAAGGCCAGACAAGGAATAATGGATGGAAACTGAACAAGGAGAGATTCAACCTGGAAATAAGGAGAAACTTTCTGACAGTGAGAACAGTCAACCAATGGAACAGAAGTTGCCCTCGGAAGTTGTGGGAGCGCCATCAGTTGAGACTTTCAAGAAGAGATTGGACTGGCATTTGTCAGAAATGGTGTAGGGTCTCCCGCTTGGGCAGGGGGTTGGACTAGATGACCTATAAGGTCCCTTCCAACTCTGATGGTCTGTTATCTGTTAGCGATAAACAGACACAGGATCTACAGCAGGGGTGTCAAACTTGCATTGTCACATCATCACATGACGTATCACGGCTTTTCCCCCCTTCGCTAAACCAGGGGTGGGCATGGCCAATGCGTGATGCGGATGCGAGTTTGACAGCCCTGATCTACAGGGCTACAAACATCTGATTTTCCCCAAGAGCGATCTGCTGCCTCCAAAATGGAGGAGTAATGGAGGAGTAAGTGAAAGCACCCAATTTTCCTTGAAATCTCTATCTGCTGTCCTTGGACTAAAGCTGTTGAACAAGACAGAACTGTGCTGCCTCTTCACAACTCAAGAAGAAGACAGGACTGTCAGAACCTCAAATTCAGTGGAGTTGAGACTGGAGTTCAAAGATGGCTGGGAATAAAAGCAGGAGACCCTATACCATTTGTCCAGCCCCTTCAGTTGTCAGCGTTCCAGCAACCCTCCATTCCAACCAATAACTCCGAGACAGACATCTCTCAAAAGTTCCTTTTATTTGGATAGTAACTGGCACATCTGTGAAATCCCGAATCCAGAAGTTCCGGGCTTCCTTGCAATAAGTAAAAACTACAAATCCACCCCCTATACCCATCACCACATCACACGGCCCAATCATCATCCGTCCCAAAGTAAGACTTCCTTTTCACGATGCGCAACACTACATGACCTTGAATCGGCAAAAGAATTTTATTTTGTCTAGCTAAACAGATAACAGATAACCAGAGTCGGAAGGGACCTTATAGGTCATCTAGTCCAACCCCCCGCCCAAGCGGAAAACCCTACACCATTTCTGACAAATGACAGTCCAATCTCTTCTTGAAAGTCTCAAGTGATGGCGCTCCCACAACTTCTGAGGGCAACTTCTGTTCCATTGGTTGATTGTTCTCACTGTCAGGTTAAATCTAGATATACTCCAGGTTAAACTAGATATACTCCAATGAATCCCCCCCCCACTTTCCCAGGCTCAATTGTGGCAGCGTGGGAGCATCGGATCTCAATATGACTTCCAAAGCTGACATCAGTGCTCCAGTGTTGGAGCACCCACAACTTCTGAAGGAAGCCCAGAAAAAGGCCCCCAAAGAGAGAGATTTGAGAGGAATCTCCCCATCTTCCTTTGATCACCCTCAAAAAAAGATACTTACTGAAGAATACCAGGATCCCAGCAATCACACACCCCAGGACAAGAGCAACCACAATGCAGTTGATGATGATCCCCAGGTTGGATTTTGGTTCTGAATTGGGAGAAAGAGCAGATCATTGAAGGAGAAGCCCAAACAATCCTCCCAATTAAAGGAGAGACTTAATGCAGCTCAAGGGCTGGAAATCCCCAAAATTAATAAGTCTAAGGGCCTCATCTTCATGTCCCTCTAACTGTAGCATGAAGGCCCCTTGCTAACCATTGTTAAAAGACATGTCCTCATGACACTGCTTTCTTCTCACACCAGCCCATCCTGAAGGCAGCTGATATTCCTCTTTAGTTGTTTAGCTCAAAAACAGCAGTTGGCAATCGTGTGACTCTCAGCACTTTACAGAAACAAGAACTTCAACAACACAAGCATGCCCCTTCCCTAAGGTATAAAGGAGGTACAAAGGGACAGGAACCTTTGCAGGAAGCAACGTTGTTCACTCTGGTCGGTTTGGAACCTGAAAGCTCCATGGTGAATTTGTGCTCCGTTTGGTTTTGGAAAGACTAATTGGGAAAGACTAATTAGTCACTGGCAGCACTTCAAGAAACATAATTCTTCCGAAGGACTTTGGCAGACTTCCACGGGACTATTTATAATTGGTTGAGACTCATTCTGGGCTGTGAATGACAATAATTCACAGCCGTTGAACTTTTAAAATAAAAGGGTTTTGTTTGTTAGTGTCTCAGGAAGCCTTGGTCAGAACACTGTCACAGCTGAAAATGGGCCCTCCCCCCGACCCTACCCCCCTGGACTCCAGTTTCACTCGCAGAGGCACCGCGGACCGGGCCGTTGCTATTTCCAAGGCAGCCCCGTCGGCCAGATTTAAACACCCTCCCCAGCCTGCAGGCCTTGAATTTGACACCCCCCTTTTTTTACTAGGAACCTTTTCCAATTGCTCCAAATCCGCATTAATGGCTGTTGCCCAGAACTGGAGGTTCTCCTTGAGGCAAGTTCTGATCATGGTACTGGTAGAACACAGGAGAAAAATTCCCATCATTTGGAAGTTACAATTTATTTGGAGTAGCCTAAAACTGATCCTTTGAAGATATTTGATGCTCTTATTTAGTCTCCTCCCTGTCAGCCCCGGATCCATTTTTGGACAGATTTCAGGGCTTGGGCAGATTTCAGGGCAAGCTGTGGGAATGGGAGAGTAGCGAAGGGAGTATATAGCCATAACAACATTCTTTTACCGGAGATCAAGGACGAGTTGCTGGCACCTGGAAGGGAGTGACCAAAGGCAGCCGAGACAGGAGATTGATTGGCCCAAGTGAAGCGGAGGCCACTTAAATGGGGCAGGGTGTGACTTTTAGTGTGGAGTGGGGAAGCATGGGAATTCAGATTCGGGTGTCAAGTCATAAAATATTTCTCTGGTCTTTTTAGAGTTGCCAACAGAAAGGGAGGTGGGAGCAGTGCAGCAGCTTGCAAAACCGAAACTGCATTCCATAAATGTTTTCAAAGATAGTAACGAGGTGACCAAAGTTTCTGCTGCAAACTTCTAACTGGAGAGCATGATTGATGACTCTTGGCTATGGATGTGTCCCATTGGAGAATATGAATTACGATACACCCGGGGGTGGAGGGAAAACCAGGGTCAAGGGTGACAATGGATTATGTGTCTCAGAGTTGGCTACACCCACCCTTTTTAAGTTTTGGAAGTTTGGCTCAAGACTCATGATTTAAATGGGGGTAACTGCCGGAATCCTGACATCAGGTTTTCCCCCCAATGTGCCAACATGACTTCTCTAATAAATTCTTACTTTGATGGACTTTGTCTCGGGAGTTCTGAATGGTATGGAGAGTTTCCTTGGAAAACTGACACTCTCTTTGTAGCCCCTTTTCCTGGGCCACGCCTTCCCCCCTAATTTCCAGCGGGTCTCTTATCTGGCGATCATCCGCTGGATAAGTACCACTCCTGCAACCATCCTGAGCACCCTGGTCATTTGGTGCCGCCTCCCAGGATGTCCCCAGCCAGTTGCTGTTGATCCTGGGCCTCCAATCAAGCCCCAGGGTGCCTGCAACTGAACGACTCAGCCTCTTACCTTTCAGGGCCATATCCAGAGGCTCCTGCAGGCCGTCGTGCTCCACGTGGCACCGATAGCGGCACCTCTCTTTGGGGTCGATCCGGATGCTGAGCCAGTAGTGGTAGGTCCCATCCGCGTTGGGGACCACAGACCCATGGAAGGTGTCCTGCAGCCAGACCTCCCCGTCCCTCGTCCAGGAGGCATCGATCTCCCTGGGGTAGAAGCCATCCAGGCGGCAGACATGCGTCTCCATCCCATCATCCTCCACCTCTGTCCTTCTGGTCATTGTCATCACTGGGGGCTCTGCAGAAAAGACGCACACACACACACACCCCAGCATTAACACTGGATTTCCACACCAGCTGACAGAATAGCTGTGTCTTTTTCCAGGACTGCCTGGAACATGTACACCGGTGAGGGTATTCAGCAGGTTCTGACCAGTTCTGGAGAGCGACTGGAAATTTTGAGTAGTTTGGAATTCCACCTCTGACTGGCCCCTCCCCCACCTATTCTCTGCCTCCCGAGTCCCAGCTGATTGGCTGGGTAACAGATGACAGATAATCAGAGTTGGAAGGGACCTTGTAGGTCATCTAGTCCAACCCCGCACCCAAGCGGGAGACCCTACACCATTTCTGACAAATGGCAGTCCAATCTCTCCTTGAAAGTCTCAACTGATGGTGCTCCCACAACTTCCGAGGGCAACTTCTGTTCCATGGGTTGATGGTTCTCACTGTCAGAAAGTTTCTCCTTATTTCCAGGTTGAATCTCTCCTTGTTCAGTTTCCATCCATTATTCCTTGTCTGGCCTACAGGCGCTTTAGAAAATAGCTTGACCCCCTTCCTCTCTGTGGCAGCCCCTCAAATACTGGAAGACCGCTATCATGTCTCCCCTGGTCCTTCCCTTTCCTAGACTAGCCATGCCCAGTTCCTGCAACCGTTCGTTGTATGTTTTAGCCTCCAGTCCCCGAATCATCCTGGTTGCTCTTCTCTGTACTTTTTCTAGAATCTCAACATCTTTTTTATAATGTGGTGAACAAAACTGGATGCAGTACTCTAGGTGTGGTCTTCTTTTGTTGCCCTGCACAGGAGAACAGAGCTGGAAAGCAGGTTAGTGGGGTAGGGAGGGAATGGGAATTTTGCAGGCAACTTCCCCCAGAGTGGGGTGGGAATGGGGATTTTACGGTATCCTTCCTCTGCCATGCCCACCCAGCCATGCACGCCCACCAAGCCCACAGAACCGGTAGGAACATTTTTTGAATCTCACCACTGATGTACAATTTTAGCAAAGAAAAAAAAAAACCTGAGCTGCCTGAAATGACTGGAGACTAAAACATATGAAGAACGGTTACAGGAACTGGGCATGGCTAGTCTAGTGAAGGACCAGGGGAGACATGATAGCGGTCTTCCAATATCTGCCACAGAGAGGAGGAAGGGGTCAAGCTATTTTCTAAAGCCCCCCGAAGGCCAGACAAGGAATAATGGATGGAAACTGAACAAGGAGAGATTCAACCTGGAAATAAGGAGAAATTTTCTGACAGTGAGACCAATCAACCCATGGAACAGAAGTTGCCCTCGGAAGTTGTGGGAGCGCCATCACTTGAGACTTTCAAGAAGAGATTGGACTCCCATCTGACAGAAATGGTGTAGGGTCTCCTGCTTGGGTGGGGGGTTGGACTAGATGACCTACAAGGTCCCTTCCAACTCTGATGATTTGTTATCTGTTTAACAGGTCAAATATTTGCCACACCACCTCTCAAAGGCACCTCCTCACCTTTGGAACGTAAAGGCTACACAGTGCCACTGCTACCTTACGATTTAGGAGCAGGGGTTTAACACTGATTGCAAGACCTTCGTAAAAACTGCCTAGAAGAGGATTTTTGTGAAGAGGTTGGAGAGAGATTGGGAAAGGAAGGAGATGGCAAGTGGGCGACTTAGTAGATTTTCTTTCTAACTAGGTCTGCAACTCAAAGGTGCATTTTCCCAAGAGGCAACTGGACTTTCTTATTTTTCTTTCCAGACATTTCACTTCTCAGCCAAGAAGCTTCTTCAGCTCTGATTGGATATTTGGGGATGGAAGGATTTGGGCTCCACGCCCATTTGCACTATTCAGGTGACTCTGAGGACACAGATAAACCTCCAAGTGGCCTCAGCGACTCTCTAAAATAATGCAAATGACCAGCTATCTGCAAGGAGTACCAATCCTTCCATTCCCCACCATCCAGTCAGCGTGGAAGAAGCTTCTTGGATGAGAAGTGTTTTTTCTTGTTTTCAAAGAAAAAAGAAAAAAATGTCCTGTTGCCTCTTGGAAACAATATATATATATGTGTGTGTGTGTGTGTTTTTGGGACAACCATGACCTGGATGACTGAGAACCTCCATAGACCTTTAGACCTGCAACTAATATTAAGCAACATTTTATTATTTTTTTAAAAAATAGAACTGAAAAGATGCACACCAGAAGTGCAGAACGGGGACTATAAAGGGAGTGCCAGCCATCCCAGGTAGACCCAAAATGAAACAAACCAGATGAGCTACTATTTTTATGGTAAATGTCAACTCATAAAATATTTCTGTGGTCTTTTAGAGTTGCCAACAGAAACGGAGCAGGGAGTAGTGTAGCAGCTGAAAAACTGAAACTGCATTCCATAAATGTTTTCATAGATAGTTGCCAGGCAACCAAAGTTTCTGCCTCGCAAAATTCTAATTGGAGAGTATGTTTTATGACTCTTGGCTATGGATGTGTCCCATTGGAGAATATGAATTATGATATACCCAGGGTCAAGGGTGATAATGAATGATGTGTCCCAGAGTTGGCTACACCGGCATGCCTTTTCCTAATAAATCTTCTCTGAATTTCTTTGAAATTCAGGCTAGAGACTCATGATTTAAATGGGGGTCACTACCGGAGCCCTAACAGTAAGTCTACTTTAAGAGTATCTTGCATGTCTGAAAATACTAATCTTTGCATGCACCTTTGGTACGCACCTTACTAAGACCTGGTGTAACTTTTTAAACAAGGGGCCTACACGCTTTATCATGCTTAAGGCAGTGATCCCCAACTTTCTGGCTTAGCGGCCCAGTGGGATGAGAAGAGGGAATAGTTCTGTGGGAGTGGCAGGCACCTGCGTGAACACGCGTACCTCCATTTGCTAGCTCAGTGGATGTGCACGCCCACCGCTGGTGCCAAATGGAGCTTCACAGGTGAGCACAAGCACTTAGCCGCCTGCGCAGATGGAGCTTCACTCATGAGGCCGAGTGCTCGCTGCTCACACAAGTGGAGCGGTGTGTCACATGCTTGCCCGCCACTCTCACAGCCTGGTTTCAAACGTCCCGAGCTCGGTAGTGGGCTACGGCCCGGGACTCCTGGCTTATGGCAACGTTTCTCAAACTTGGCCACTTGAGAGTCAGGTAGACTTCAACTCCCAGAATTCCCCAACCAACATTGCTGGTTGGGGAATTCTGGCAGGGATGGGATGCTACCGGTTCGGACCGGTTCTCAAAGTTACAGCGAGTTCGCCGAACCAGTATTTCAAACGACCGGCTGGCCCCGCTCACCCCTCCCCTCCCCTCCCCGGAGTCTCCACATGGCCCATTTTCAATGAAGGTAAGTGCAGGGTCTGCGTGGAGGCTCTGGGAGGGGGGAAAACGGGCCTTCTAGAAGTCCGGAAACGGGCGTGTTTCTGGCTTCTGGAGGGCCTCCAGAGGCCAGGGGAGGCTGTTTTCGCCCTCCCAGAGGCCCGGGGGAGGCCTCTGGACCCTTGGGAGGGTGAAAATAGCCTCTCCCGGGCTCTGGAGGCCCACCGGAAGCCGGCTATAGGAAGTTCTGGTACGCCCCGCCCACCCAGCAACCGGGCAGCGAATCGGTTGCTGAGATTTTTGAATCCCACCTCTGAATTCTGGGAGTTGAAGTCCACACATCTTCAGATTGCCATGGTTACGAAACAATAGCTTAGGACCTCACCTCATGCAATATAAATCCAGCACTGTTATTTCTCCTCCCCCCTCAGGGCACGTACCTGTCCACGGCAGCATCTCTTTCCTCCTATAGGAGAGGTACTTCTTCAACCACTCAATGCATTCCTCCTCCAGGTAGAATTTATTTCTCTGGGACCACCGCAGATTAGCATCCCAATTCATCTTGGTGATCTGGGCCTGGGGGTCGAGAGCCACCCAGCTCAGGGTGTCTTTATTGAAGATGAGGAAGCTCCTCCCGTCGTAGCCATATTGCGAATAACCTCTTATGCTTCTGTTTCCTCTGAGCTCACAGCCATAAGTGGTCTGCCATATGTGAAACCCTGAGGAGGAAAAAAAAAATCACAAAAGGAGTAAGGAAGGGCCTGAGTGGCCCCCTCCACAGAAACTCCCACCAAAGAGGCTCACTTTCCTTTCATCCCACCAAAGGTAGGCAAACCACAACTCCAGGGAGTAAACTATTCCATTGCTTAATAGTTACTGACATTTCAAGGCTTCCCATCCCCTGAGATCAGATGGTCTTCTCTAAATCTTCCACAGGCTGGATCTTGTCCTATCTTCAGGCATCACAGGGAGTAAATCTACATCTTCTTAATTTTATTTATTTACTACTCTGAAGTCAATCAATCAGAATCGAGCTGGAAGGAACCTTGGACGTCTTCTAGTCCGACAACCTCTTCAAGCAGGAGAACCTATAATACCATTTCAGACAAGGGGCTGTCCAGTCTCTTCTTAAAAACCGCCAAGTGGCTGGAGAATTCTGGGAGTCGAAGTCTACGAGTCTTAAAGTTGCCAGGTTTGGGGACCCCTGCTCTAGAGGCCTGCCTTGCCTTGACCACTTGAGTCATGACACCCGTGGACCTCAATTCCCAGGATTTCTGAGCCGCCCAGAATTCTGGGAGTTGAAGTCTACAGGTGGGAAAGAGCCCACAGTTGTCCACCTGTCTAATTCAATGGGTTGAAGGAGGAAAAAAAAAACCCCAAATACAGGTCTTACAGACCCGTTAGTTCTTTGTACACGAGTTATCCACCACTACCAGGTGCCCGATTCTGCCTTTGCTCACCTCTATACTGCTTGTAGCGGTGTTGGACATTCCTCAGGTCTTCTTGTAACACTTGCTCGGTGGCCTTCAAGATGTCGCTTCCATCCTTCCAATATTTGGGATCCTCCTTTTCCACCTCCTTCATCCAGGACACCTTTGGTATTTTCTCCTTCTTCTGGCTGTCATAGTAAGTGATGAGCTGTCCATCCAGATAGCCCATCGTGAAGAACTGGGGCAGCCCCTCACTGGGCTCGGATACCACCACGTAATCATAGTGCAGAGAGTGGTGGGAAGAGCCTAATCAGGAAGAAGAGGGAGATGAGAAACAGGGGATTCTTCAGTTCCGGACATCCTGTCAGGCCTGCCCCACAGGCGGGCTCCCTCAATGCGGATTGAATCACAAGAACTTTTACTGAAAGAAACTGGTTGCAAACCAAGTCAGGCGGATTCTGAAGTTCCCTCACAAAACAAAAGCAATTCTTTCAATCTCCCAATCCCAACTCCCTCCCCAAGAAGTCCACCGGCAGCCAATGTGATGCCGAGAAGGTCAGCCATATTTTACTTAGAAGCTTCCACGCTGCCACATCTTAGTGCCTGGGAATTTGGGAGGGGAGATTTCACAGAGAGGGGGAAGTTTAGACACAACAACATTCTTCTCATAAAGTCAAGGACAGGTTACCCTGCACCTGGGAAGGAGTGGCTGGAGGAATGTCTCCAGTTGGGACGATGGGTGATTGGACCATGTGATGGACTGGTGGGCACAGGGGTTGGGTTTTGGATTTTTAGTTATGGAGGGAAAACCCGGAACTCTCAGATTTGGGTTTCCTCAGATATGTCAGTATGACTTCTTTAATAAATTCTTACTTGGATGAACTTTGTTTCTGAGTGCTGAATGAAATGGGAAGTTTCATTGGAACGCTGACAGAGAAGATGTTTTGAGAATGCTGAGGTGCCAGGCAGATAATGGTTCACACTCAGGGTGTGACGGCCTTGGAACCTGGCAAAAACAGCTGGGAAGGAGTCCGTCCCGTCTCCAAAGACTATTCCCTTCCGTAATTCCCAGGTGCACAGCAGCAGTGGAAAAATCCCAAGCATACTGTTAGGAATATAAGTCACCTAACAGTTGGGCTGGAAAATATATAAACCAGGATAAACATTTTAATACTGTCTCTTTAAGAGAATGCTAAAATTGTAATTGGGTGTAGTTCCTCAAACGGCCATAAGATGGAGCCAGAAACCTGGGTTGTTTAGTCCTGTTCTGTTGTTGCTGAGAGTGTTGCCCCTGCATTTCCCTTATGACTGTTACTGATCATCGTTATTCTTGGATTTGATATAAGTCTGTTACTGAACTGTTTATGATACTGGGCTTTGTTATTGGATTATCCCTGGACTGAAAACTGACTGCTATAACCATGTATGACATGGACTGTGTTTGGACTTTGTTTAACTGTTTACTGGAAGTAAAACCTACATTTTACTATACAGTGTAGCTGTGTCCTGTGTGTGTGTTAGTCAACATTACTCTCACTACAGAACTTTTTTTTTTTTTTATATTAGTATTGGGACTAGAACTTTTTTTTTTTTTTATATTAGTATTGGGACTAAAGGACACTCTAAGGATGAGAAGAAAACTGTAAGATTATTGACAAAACTGACTTAGCGGCGATTTTCAAAGAGAAATGTCAAAGTGAGGCTTGGCTTTTTATTTTTACCTTTTTTTTTCTTTCATTGAACTTCTATGGTGATCTAGTTAAGCAGACTGGTTTTTTCTTTTAGTTCTTTTTTCTCCTTTTTGACTGTTTTTATTTTATAAAATAGAGGCCCCCTTTAGTTTTGTTCTTTTTTTAAATTAAATATATATATTTTTGTTCTTTTTTAGGCTTTTTTAAGGGGGAAGAAGGGGGAGTGGTTTTAAGAAATTTTGCAACACTGCCAACTAGAGGCTTGAAAATATTTTATTTGAAGTTGAGAGCTGGGAAAAAACTTCTGCTTCAAGGCTATTGAAGTGATAAGATAAAGGGAAGATAGAGGGAAGAGTACTGGAGGATGTTTATACAGGTGCTCTTCGGGATTTCTATTATTAATTGAATATCTGAAGCTTGGCTTTGAAATGTGTCGAGAAGCCAAATAAGAGCCTTGGATAAATAAAAGGCAGTGGGTGTTTTTTTTATTTTTTATTTTTTATCAACTGTTCTATCCCTCCCCCCCAACCCCATAGCATTTTGTAATATTGGTATACTTATTTTTATTTTTATTTTACCTCATTTTTAGTTTATTTTTAAAGGGGAAGCCTCAGAATATTTATTTTTTCCTTTTTATTTTTTTTATTGGGATTTTTGCTTTCTTATCTCTACTTCTGACTTATTTTTATGGATATTTTTTATTTTTGAGATCTCTCAATTGGATTAAGGTGGGAAGAACCTGAAGAACTTCTTCTTTTTGTTTATTATTATTATTATTATTATTATTATTATTATTATTATTATTATTATTATTATTATTATTATTATTATTATTTTACATTGTTGGCTTTATTTTGTCTCTTTTTTCTCTTCATTTTTAATTTTTACTTTTGAATTATAATTGAGTATTTCACAATTGGATTAAGGTATTGAAGAACCTGAAGAATTTTTCTTTTCTTTTTTAATTTTGGGCTTTTTACTTCTTTTTGGCTTTTCTTTTTTTCTTTTTGGTGTTTTCCCTTTTTCTAATTGGATTATAATTGGTCACCTTATTAACTGGATTAAAAGAACCGGAAGACGCTGAATCACGGAATGAGTAAGAGAATTTTACCTCCGGGCACTTCAATTTCTGCTCCTGTTTCCCCATCAACTGGAGGACGACTTTCCATAATGGCAAAGCAAGATAAAGCACAAATGGATTTAATGACGGTTATGCAAGGAATACAAGATCTTAAAGTGAGCATGGAACAAAGAATGGAGAGTATTGATAAAAGAATTGGGAAGATTGATGAAAAATTTGAAAATTTTCAACAAATGATGGTGAATCATGATGAGAGAATCCAAAAACTAGAAGAGAAAGACAAGCAAAGAGATGACATAATTGGAAATATTGATAATAGATTAACAACGGCTGAACAAGAAAAAAGTGGGATGTTGAAGTGGGAGATGGACAGGTCAGAATTTTATCTTAGATTTCAAAATATTGAGGAAGAAAAAGGACAAAATTTGGCTGCAGTAATGATTGAAATCTTGGCTGGAGCCATGGAAATAACAGAAGAAAAGATGATGGATGGAGTAGATGAGATATATCGAGTTTTCACAAGATATGCAACGAGGAACCAATTACCAAGAGAGGTTCATGTTAGATTCACCAAAAAAACTATTAAAACCCAAATACTACAAGTGGCAAGAGAGAGGGTGTTGAAGTATAAAGACAAAGAGATTGTGGTCTTAAAACAAGTACCTAGAAAAGTGAGAGAGATTAGAAGAGAATATCGATTTTTGACTAAAAGGCTATTGGAAAAAGAGGTGAACTATAGATGGCTGATTCCAGGAGGATTAATGTTTACGTGGCAAGAACAGAGATACAGAATTGATTCAATTGAGAAAGCAGAAATATTCTATAAGAAATTCTTTGAAAGAAGAGAAATGGAGATAGAAAAAAGAGAACATTTCAACTGAATCTGAAGAGGATCTGATGGAAATGAGAAAAGAGGAAGGTGCAATAGGTGGACAAGCGGAGACCAAAGAACAACGTGAAGTAAGATCCACGAGAGCTGTTAGACCTAAATATAAAGTATAACCATGGAGGAAAAAAAATTGATTTCTATTAATATAAATGGACTGAATTCAGCTACTAAAAGAAGAAAAACCCTTCACAAATTAGAGAAGCTAAAATTTGATATAATTTGCCTACAAGAAGTACATATTAAAAAACAACACGAACAACTACTGACACGACCAAAATTAGGGAAAATATTCACTTCTCTGACTTACTGTAAGAAAAGAGGAGTGGTTTTGTATATTAAGGAAACTATTCCAGCAAAACTGACTTTTACTGATGAAGACGGAAGAGTATTAATGGTTGAAATAGTGGACAATAATACAAAAACACTTTTGGTTGCAATTTATGCCCCGAATGATAAACAAGAAGAATTTTATAAAAAATTACACATGAAAATAATTGAACTGGACTACGCTAATATACTTATGATGGGAGATTTTAATGGAATTGTAGACAATAAATTGGATTATACAGTAAAAGCAGCACGACAAAATAGGAAAACTCTCCCTAAAACTTTTTTTAAAATGATAGATGAATTAAATCTTAAAGACATATGGAGAGAAAGAAATGCTAAAACTCAACAATATACTTTTTATTCCAATAGACATTTATCATGGTCCAGAATAGATATGATTTGGACATCAACGGAATTATTATCTAATATTCAAGAGATAAATATTGAAACAAGTACATGGGCAGACCATAATCCAATGACAATTAAATGGAAAGGACAAAAAAGAAGATCTAGATGGACATTAAATAATACTATTTTAAAGGAAAAAAACTTTACACAATGGATGGAAAAAGAATTGGCCTTCTTCTTCAATGTAAATAAAAAAGAGGACACTTCAATACAGAATGTTTGGGATACAATGAAGGCATATGCAAGAGGATTAATAATAGACTATTCAAAGAAAAAGAACATTAGGAAGAGGCAAATGATTAAAGCTTTAGAAGATGACCATAAAAAATTGGAAAAAGAATTACAAAAAGCGCCACAAAAAAAAGATATTAGACTTAAAATGGACATAATTAAACATAAAATGGATCAAGCAGAGAAAGAAGAACTGGCACAAAAAATTAGAAGTGCTAAACAGAATTATTTTGAAGATGCAAATAGGCCAGGTAGATGGTTAGCATATAAATTGAGAAAAGAGAAAGAATCAAGGAAAATATTACAGTTAATAGACAATCAAGGTCAAGTATGCTATGGTAATAAAGAGAAAAAAGCAATCATTCAAGATTTTTATGGACAATTATATAAACAGGAGGATCTTGATGAGGGAAAAATTAAACAGTATTTACAAAATGCTAACCTACCTAAGATACCTGATGAAACTGGGGAAATGTTAGAAAGTGCTATAACAATGATGGAATTAACTGAAGCACTCAATAGACAGAACAATGGAAAAGCACCAGGACCAGATGGTCTCCCGGTAGAATTTTATAGAATACTACAAGAATCGTTGAGCATTCCACTATTAGAAGTCATGAATGAAATTATGGTAAATAAGAAAATACCCAAAACATGGTCAGAAGCTTATATTACA